ATCTAATTAAAACTGCAGTAGTTAATGAAGGCAGAATTAACTGATATTGCAATATCCCTTTAAGATCTGCTGCTCTTTGAGAAAAGGGAAGCTACTGGTATATGCCTGAAAAAGCTTAACCTGCTTAACCGAACATCTCCTCTAGTGGCAATATGATAAGATATTTCAAATTTAGAAAGTACAAGTTTTTTTTTAATCATCACTTTTGGCATTCACAAATAAGATTTACGTATTTAGATAAAATATGATAAATAGCTTTTATCTGAAGGTATACTATGTATAACAAAGTGTTTTTCACAATGTGAATATTACTGTAGTTTAAAAGAATACTAGAATGAACACAGGGTGACCTTGAACCTGTCACTAGCTCTGAGAACCTGTGTCCTTTCTTGCCCTACCTACTTCATAGAGTTGTAAAATTAACACATAGGTGTGAAAGTATATTGTTCTTCCAAAACGTTGGTATTATTGTCATTAACTTTGTTCTTAAATATCAACTGATCTTATATATAGGAAGTAATGTCACATATAAGACATATAAGGTCATACTATGTAATATAAGGTCATATTAGATAATATCAGATCAGATTATAATGTTTTAGTTTTGCTCTCCTATCTTTGAAGAAATTAGTATACTATGATTTCATTTAACAATACTGAGAATATCATGAATTGTTTGTATGCTACTATAATATCGATGATTATAATCCTTGTTATCTATTCCTCTTATCATTATTCAGAGTAATCTCTTAGTCTTAGAAAGCAAACTCAGTTTTTATTTCTTAAAAGTGAAAAAGTAGGGGGATAAGAAATATGAAATAAATATGGGAAAATATTAGCATTTGTCAAATCTGAGAGATAGATACATGGGTGTTTGTTATTCTATTATCTTATGTTGGAAATATCTCATCATTTAAAATATAGTGTGAGGGGCCAGCCCAGTGGCACAGTGGTTAAGTTTGGACATTCCACCTCTCAGCGGCCCGGGGTTCACCAGTTCGGATCCCAGGTGCAGACATGGCACCACTTGGCAAAAGCCACGCTGTGGTAGGCGTCCCACATATAAAGTAGAGGAAGATGGGCATGGATGTTAGCTCAGGGCCAGTCTTCCTCAGCAAAAAGAGGAGGATTGGCAGCAGTTAGCTCAGGGCTAATCTTCCTCACAAGAAAAAAGAAAAAAAAAAAATATATATATATATATATATATATATAAAAAAATATGAATCACAAAAAAGAGAAAATTTATGACTTGTAAGCAAGCCCTAAAGTTATATTTGATCAAAATCTTTAGTTTCCATCTGAATATAGGATTCAGAATCATATTTGTTTCATTCCCCAGAACTATACTAATATGTCTATACATGCACTTTTCTAGTCATCCCAAACAGATCCCCACCTACTGCCTTAGCATCCTGTAGTTGATGCTTTTACAAAAGAGTCTATTCTCATGAGAATTTTTCTTGTATTACATGTCATATGTCTGAAAAAATTAGACAATCACTCTGATTAGGCAGTGGAATGGAACAAATACTTAGCGAGGAGCCGGAAGTTCTAGGCCTAGCTCTACCACTTACTTCTCTCCCTAGCCTTTAATATGCCACCTTACCTCTCTAAATGTTGCTTTCCTTTTCTGTCAAATGGGCATAATAATACTTGTTCAGTCAACCTCACAGATTTATTGTGAGGTAAGGAGTTATAGCATGCGACACAAATGAAGTTATAGATCCTCTGACTATTGTCATACGTTGGTACCTGTCCCTCTACTAAGCCGTGATCTCACCTGAGATCCCAGAAAGAAGTGTGCAACAGAAAGTGGAGTCAAAGAGAAGGGTCAGGGGAGACAGAGAAGGGCAGGACCCAAAGAATGTGTTCAGCTGTGATACCAAACACAGTGACCCCAAAGACCTTTCCAACTTTGAGAGTCAGTGATTTTGTGAATCCACCAGCCACAGAGTAGAAAGGAGCATTGAGTATGTTCTTTGAAACATAAATTACAGTAAGAATTTGGTATAAAATCCCTTTTAGTTTATTTCTGAAAATGAGAAAATTTCATATGGAGAGTTGATGATTCTGCGGTTTTACAAAATAGGAAAAGAATCTTTCCCAGATAATATGAAAACAATGGGTTAAAAAAAAATCACTGAGACTTATGTTTCTGTCATCAGCTAGCCTATCCCAGGACCTTTATCCACCTACAAAGATTAATACCATGATGATGTGCATGTCACTGGTACTGTGTTTCCAAGAACTTTACCATAATCCTCGAGTCAATATGTTATCAATTACATATTTTAAGATTGGTGAAATTAGCTAATGTCTCCTTATACTAACACAAAATTGTATTTTGTTGATAATATTCATTGTCACCTGAACCACATTTCATATTGTCCCGTGTTTGTGATGTTCTTCCCATTTACTCCATAGATCAACCATTTGGCTCAGCTTAATGATAATATGATCCAGCAAGGCAAGGGGCGTGGAGCTCTGGGCATGCAGTGATCAGGAACCCATCACATGTATATCTTATAGTATTTCAACACAGTAGAATAATTTGCTATCTTTTCCCCCCAAAAAAATGAAAAAGATTGATGAAAAATTTCTTCAAAATACTTAGTTCAAAAATACTTTAAATACCTATCCATTACTGAATATAATTCTTCTAAGATATTTGCCCAACCAATTTAACTTTGAAATCCATGTCACGGATTTTTTTTTAAATTTTTTTGTTTTACACATGGATCCTGCCTTCAGTGAATACCTGGGTCCCTTTTTGGCTGCATAAGCAATTAACTGGATGACTTTAAAGGGTCTCTATATAGGTTGAACCTCATGTGATCCATTTTTTCAAACTTTTGTTTTTCTCTCTTCTTGGGAGCTCGCTCCCCAGAGCCGAGCATTCCCCAGTATTCTCATGAGCAGGCCAGTGCTTGAGGAGAAGGAGAATTTTATCCAGAACCAGTAAGAAAATCTAATAGTAAATGAAACTATTCAGACTGGAACCAGGCCTAACTTGCTATTGAGCTATTTGGGCTTTTCACATACAGTTCTGTGAATGTATTTGAGGCCAAATCTATGATTTTCTTCTGTGTTAGTCGTGAATATTCTCCTGAATAAAAACTACCGAGCATGCTAAAGTTGACCTTTGCCAGGTTGTCAGGTATGTTTCTGACCATAGCAGTAATATTACCATAGCAATAATAACAACAACTAACCTTTCTTGAAAACTTAGGTTGTACAAGGTACTATTCCATAAAGGGTTTTATATGTATTATGTCACTTAATCCTCATAACAACCCTGTATTATCCCTACTTTATAGATGGAAAGCTGAGGCAAAGAGAAGTGAAGCAATTTATCCAAGGTTCTATATCTAGCAAGTAGCAGGATTTAAACTCAGGCTGACTCCAGAGTTCACACTCTTAACCTCTGTGCTATGCCACCTCTCAACTAGTTTATCTCTTGTAGAGCCTGGGAAGGTAGTCTCTCAGGTTAATCTCAAGTTCCTCTTCTTACCTTTGTCACCCCTGGATAAAGAGTGAAATGATCTTGTCGTTACAAATCTCCTTCTCCCCCTTCTCCCGTGAGAGATTTGGGAGAATGTATGCTATCTCATGGAGACATTATTCGATTTCAAGTTAACAAAACCTGCTGAGGCTAGCTTGCGGGAAGACATAGGGTTATCTCTTGGGACCCAAGAGCAAGAATAGGCTTCTAAAGGGACCAAAAGGAAAAACTAGAAAATCAGAAGTTAGGATTGTTCCCTTTTTAGATGTACATGTTAGATGTCCATGGGAGAGAAAGGGAGACACCCGTCTTCCCCATAGGGTGAGAGGTTCTCAGGAAACAAGGGTGTAGGCTGGACAAATATTCCTCAAAAAGCACTTTTTCTGTGCTCCATGATTTGAAGGGAAATGCAAGTTCAGTGCACATTGTCCAGTAGCTTTGTATGGATTTAAAATAGTAACCATATAGTCCCTGTCAGCTACTCCCTACCTTCCTGCCCCTCCATAAGCCCTGATGCCTGGCATTTAGTTTTTTTCTCACTTGATCAATCTCAAGTTAGGCCTTTGTACCCCTTCTACTATCCAGAGGATAAGACGCCTGATTTCACTCCATCTCTTCTTACCCAGGCCTTTGACCCATGCAATCAAAGAGCCTGGTGCACTCGTCTTTTCAGTTGACTGTCAAGAATCTGCCTAGTTTCAGTCCCTGATGTTCATCCTGTCCCTTTACCCTCTCAGAATATTTCTTACAGTCTCTGCCTTCCTTGTTCTTCTTTTCTCTACCCTTTTTTTCCCCCAATGAACACTTATTGGCTCTTCATATTTTTAGGGAACCCTCCCACCATTTTCCTATTAGACGAAGTCCAAATTCTTGAGCTTGAGGGCCCTCCAAAACTGTGTCCTATCCCAGTTGTTCCAATTCAAGTCCTTCATTCTAGACAGTGTGTTTTCTCCAGTGGTATAGAAACACCAGGCTTCATCACAAGCTGATCCGCTTGCTTACAAGGCCCTTTCCCATTTCTTTACACCTGTGAAAATCCAACCCACTTCTCAAGGCCTAACTAATTTAAGTCATATTCCCTCTAAAGAGTCCTATGTGATCTCTCCAACACCTAGGGTGACCAACCATCCAGGTTTGCCTGGGATTTCCTAGGACATGTGACTTTCGGTACTAAATCTGGGATATTCCTAATCAAACTGAGATGGTTATACAGCCTACTAATACTTCACTGTCTCCCCTCCGTATACTGACTCGTTAGAGCAAAAAACCCTCTGAAAGACCTGTAGCCACAACTTCCGCACTTACAAGGTTCTTTTGCCACAACAAGAGTTATGCTCTTGCTGGGCAGAGACCCTTTTGATTCCCACTTCAAACAGAGTACAGAGCTGTACTCATGTTAATACCTACTCAGTGAATAAGGTGGTTTAGTTTTAAGTTGGCACTGTATCTAAAATCTTTTCCTTGTGTGTTAATTTATTTGTCTTTATTTTTTTTCCAGCCCAGATGACTTACTCAATGCCTTGAATGAGGGTATCAGTCGTGCTGATGTCATCATCACATCAGGGGGTGTCTCCATGGGGGAAAAGGTATGAAAAAATGGAGCTCATGAAAATTTATCCACTGTAATGTCCTTGCATACGGTTGATTAACTATGGTCTATTAGATATCCGGTATCCATAACCAGACTCTCACAAAGCTGAAAATCCATAGGGCTTCAGAAATTTCTGGGCATTCTAAAAGGGATGCATTTTGGGTGGGTTAGAGATCTTTCCTCAGGAGCAGCATGGAGAAACCCACAACTTGCAGAATAGTTTTGATGTTCCCCTGGAGATTTCTGGGTTTTTGCTCACTCACCTTTACTACATTAAAACTTAAGGTAAAGCTCCAAGATCCTTCTACTTAAATTTAAATTTAAAGATGACCTCCCCCACCACATATGCCAAACCTGGTAAAAAACTTTTAGCTCCCTACAGGGAAGAAAGAGAGGATTCGGCATTCCTTTGCCTCTCTTGAAAAATAATCATAATAATGATGAAAATAAAAAACAAACATATAAATATAAGTATACATATAGGATTTTATAAGACTAAGTATATTTGCATATGGTATATGCTTAGTCCTATAAAAATCTCAATTTGATTATCTCAGTATCATTAAGTTTATATATCTTAATGAAATGTGTTGGTTTGTGATGATTATTGGGTCCATTGAATAATGTTATAAAAGCAAAATATTCTTTACTGCAATAACCAACCTTATGTTTTGGCTCAAAAATATTTCAGATCACAAAATGTTTTGCCAGCCTGCAATCCCTTTCCATATTTTCTTTCATCTCATGTTAATGATTGAACTGAGATATTATAAAAATATTGTTGTAATAGCAGTTTTTGCTAAAATTCATATTTTCCAAGAGTTTGATTTATTTTTGGCTAGATCTCATGCAGTATATGCTTGTTCTTGGTCCCTGACCTCTCTAGCAATAAAACTGCCTAAATTTATAACCTGATTCTTTGGACAGTGGATTCTAATTGGCTCTGAGAACAAATGTCAGTATTCATTAGTTTGAGCAGAGAATGTTGCCTTCCATTCACAACTTTAGTTTTTAGTGTTTAAGAATAGCACTCCAGCTGACAAAAACCATGGAAGAAAAAGAGGGAATCTTAGTCCAAAACTGCCATCTCAGAATACATCCAGGAGTGCAGGTGTTGAAGCGTGGGTAGGTATTCTTATAGCAGACAGATTGCTGGGTTCGTCTTCCCTCAAAGTCTCCTAGAAGTCTAGCCCCAGGTGGAGCAAATTGCTGCAGATCTCTCCTGAGATCCTGGAAGCCACGGGCTGAGGTCTGCATTGTAGTAGAGCTCGAAGAAATAATTTGCAACATGTCTGTTTTCTTTACTATCAAACTGCCTGTGTTACTCTGAGTATCACAAAAGCAAACCCTGAAGTTAGGAGTACTTAAATGTTAAATTTGTTATTTCCAGGGAGTGTTTCATGTATAATTTATCTTGGTTGCTAATGAACTTAATTGTGGGATAATACCTATTCAGCAGGCTTAAAGTTGTCTTTTGCAATACTTCTGAAGAGGCAGCAAGCTTATAGCATACCTAGGCTTGGCAGTTGTGGCTCAACTGTGGTAAGGACAGAACACTTCTCAACCTTAACCTTCTTTATTAGTGCTAACAAAGATGTCATTTATCTTAGGGATTTGCTCACAAGTAAACAGAGCCAATACAGTAAAGCATATTGGTTTTATTTATTTTACTCTCTGTGTGGTAAGATACTTACACTAAACCTTTAATTTACTAGGAAGGAGATTTAAGAGCTGGGCATTCCAGAGGAGCTAATAATTGTTCTTCCTACCTCTTCGAGTGGAAATGAAATGAAAGAGGAACCAGGAAGAAAGAGATAAAGCACAAATGCAGCAAGCTCCTGCCAACTCGCAAGTTCTAGTCCCCAAATGAATTCCGATGTTCTTCAGTAGCAGAAAGACAGAAAAGTATAAGAGATAGAATATCCACTTCAGCCTCAGGGCTGAGCCTGAAAATCAGTCACTGAAAAGACAGGGAAGTTAAGGAAAGATCCAGAAGCATTATGTAGCAGGCATGAATCTTAAGTGCAGAAACTCAGATATGCAAGAAATTTATTTAGTTGATTTAACTTAAATCCTACTATTGAGTACCTATGCTACAGAACTGGCAGGAGATTTTATTTAAGCCGTTATGGGACTCAGCTCCCCCAAGAATTATGCTAAGGAACTTGGAGGGACTTCAGAGGCAACAGAACATCAGGGAGACATCTGGTCACCACTCTACACTGGATACAGCTAGAGTGTCCTTGTAGGGCTATTAGATCTCAGGGCTTTCTTTCTCTGAGCCGTGCTAGCAGCATTGGTATCGTGGGGAGGCCCGGAGCCTTGGGGCAGGGGAAGGGGGCCCCTGCAGCTTATGGGACCCACAGACCTCTGTCTTCTTCTCAGCCAAAGAGAAATGACTCTTCCACAGTTGGTTCCCTCAAAATCTCTCCCTACCTCCACGTCCCCCTGCCCTACATAGCCTTTTCCAAGACTTTTCATTTTTATAAAATCCTGAAAGTTTCAGGTAAACGATCTGCTTTTTGCCCCGAAAACTAAAGACTTATATGCATTACTATAAACTTTTCACAACCTACAGAATTGTAAAATAGCTCAAAGACAATGAAAGGTGCAGATAACCAAGAAGGATGCAATGGGCTGGACATCCAGTAATTTTTTGCCTATTTCAAAGTCTCTTAATTTTTCCTGACAGTGTCTCCCCAACCCTATATGATCAAAATAATCACAAAGACTACTGGTCACAAAAAAAGACTTGTCTTGTAGGCTTGCCCTGATTATTTAGCAGCAAGAGCATTAATTAACCATATAGGCCTCTTTGAGTTTGTTTTGAAAATCTAGAGCCATACAGCAATAGAATATTAAAACTAATCAACAATATTCCAAACAAATAAATGCAATGTAATTTCCCTTATCATTTCATTCAGTCCTATGTCATTCTTGTTCTGCTGCATCTTGGGTTAGCAGTATGCTTTCATGAAGCCATCTGCTTCCATACTAAAGAGTCCTAGGATTCCTGACTCAGTCCGCTGGTACTGTATAAAAGTTATGTGAGTTATATCACCTCATAAGCCAGTACCCAAGAGACGAGTCTTTAAAATGTCAATAGTTCAAAGTACCTGTGACAGTCCTTTTCCCTAGTGCTCTAAATCTGTCTTTGTTGCAGACACAAGCTGTTTACTGTAGCTTACAGCAGAGGCTTTGGGCAAGCATCAGAGTAAAACAGAAACTTCCCAGAAATGACAGATATTTAATGGCTATGCTTAATTTACTACTGCAACCAATAATATCAGAATAGAAGATAAGTAAAATTCCCTACTGGATATACTGTGTAACTATTTCATAAAAGTTTTGGTCAGTGTTTCCCCCAGGGGTGACAACATATTATGGACAGCAAGGGCATTGTCAAATCTCCAGACACTTCCCATAAAGCATACAATTTCTGAAATATTTATGTTAAAAACATTTTACCTATATGAATCTAATGCAGGGCACACTGAGCATCTCTTCTCAGATATGACAGCAACTTCTCTTCCATGAAACTCTTACAATGGTAACATATCAAGCACACCTAATTATTTGTAACATCTCTTTTTATAAGATGAAAGAACAAATCTTTTTTATTTCCTAGGGGTCCTCTAGGAAATTTCAAAGATGGTTTTAGGTGTAAAAGATATTCTGAAATTTTTATTTTATCTTTTTCTAAATTTAGGTCTGATCTTTAGAAGGCAAAATCAAAAGAGTTGTCAAAAAAAAGCATTGAGTATTTGATTAAGATAGGATCACGGGTACCTGAGAAAGAGTACTTGGTTACTTAATTTTTCAAAGCAACAATAAAATATTTGAAAATAAGCATAGAAGGTAACATGATTATAAGTAATCCTGGCTCATTCATAAATGAGGAACCTTTATTTTTTACTTTTTTTTTCCTTAAATAATCAACGACAAAATAAAGTAAACATAAAGCACAAAAAGGCAGATTACACAAAAAGAATAACCTTTCATATCCTAGGGAAAGCATTAATCAGTAAGCCAAAGAAAAAAGCTCATCAAACCTGAATGAACTTACTAAAATTTTAATATATTTCTCAGTTTCATTCCACATACAGGTATTATAAACCAAGACAAATAAAAGTACCTTTAAAAGTTTTGCCTTTTATTATCTTCTTTTATATTTTGGAAGAAGCTGACACTTTACTTTAGAACAGAGTGGTCCCTAGACCCACAAAGGTCCTGAGACCTTGAAGTGGGTCTGCAAGGCCAAAACTATTTTCATAATAAAACTAAGACACTATTTGATATTTTTATACTCCTTCTCTCATGAATATACAGTGAGATTTTCCAGTGGCTCTATGATGTGTGATATCAGACTGAATGCAGAAGCAAATAAGAGAATCCAGCTGACTTCTATCAAGCCAAATGTCAGAGATGAAATTATAAAACAATGTGTAAAAAATAAGTTACTTATGTTAACATGAAATAACTTCATCACTGCTGTTTCCAAAAGAACCAACAAATAAACATTATTTAAATTTTTTAGTTTTAATTTATAATACAGTAAATATTGATAGACATAACTCTCATAAACAAAAGCTCTAGAGATCCTTAATAAATTTTAAGTTAAGAGCATGTACAGGGTCCTGAGACCAAGTATTTTGAGAACTGGACTTTTTAAAAATTCTGTTTTTCCTTGAAAAATGAAAGAACACACACATAGTTATATTTCTCTGTCATTATTTCTCCTAACATAGTTGCAACCCATATTCATTATAATGCTTAAGAAAATAACTAACACTATCCTATATAATATTTAAGATTATGAAAAAAATGTAAAATTGGGTTCAACAAAATTGAATCATTATTCTGACAAACCTTTAATTTCACTAGTAAGTATGTTTGTAATACGTCAACTTGAAAATAATTTTCAGGATCTTTAAGTAACTTAAAATCTTGAACTGATATTAAGTTAGTTAATTAATGAATAATCATCAGATACCTAGATGATTTCTAAGTAAGACAGAATTACTGGATCATTGATTACTAAGCATGATCTTAAGTTAATATACTTTTGTTTTTAAGTTATACACTTTGCTTCTTATTTTTATATATTATAGAGAGGCAATATCTTTGGGTCATGTTAATAAATCTGTTTTTTCTTCTTTGCTACATTAAGAAGATACAAAAGGGATGTATGTGGCTGTAGAAAGTTGTATTCTGTGTGTTTGTGAACTTTGCTAGTCTGCTAAAATTCTTACATGTGATTTCTCAGTTATCTACACTCCCCCTAGTTTTTGCTGTGAAATAAAAATTAGTTATTTTCTTAAATGTAAGAAAAGCAGTAAGGTTATGGAAGCATGGAAATGCAGAAAGGACTAAAGAGCAAAAAAAAAGGGTTAATATGTGGATATATGTAAATTACTGTTGATTGTACAAAATACTAATGTCTTGTGAGGTTTAAAATATATGTAAGTATTATATATTAGATATAGAGTATTATATTGTCTGTATAGTATATAGAAAATATATCTGTATGATAGTTTGGATATATATGTACATATATACACATATTTAAAATGTATACAGAATATATGGTACATGATAGCAGAAAAAGCAGAGAGGAATAAATGGAGTTAACATGTTGTAAGGTTCTTGCATTGTCTGGGAAGTAATAAAAATACCAAATTATGGTAGACTGTAATAAGTCAAGAATGCATGTTGTAATCTCTAAAATAACCAGTAAAATAATAAAAGAATGTATAACTAACAAGGTAATAGAAGAGAAAGAAATTAAAATAACCCAAAAAATTGGTAAATCCAAGAGAGGGCATGGGAAAAAAAAGAAATAAAAACAGAAGTGACAAATAGAAAACAAATAGTAGGGTGATAGTTTTAAACCCAAATATAGAGTGATTATATTAAATGTAAGTGGACTAAATCCTCCAATTAAAAATTGTCATTCTGGATTTTAAAACACAACAAATTATATGATACTTAAATGTAAGAACACAGCTAATTGGAAGTAAAAGATTAGAAAAAAGTTACAATGAAAGATAGCTGGTGTGGCTATATTGATATTGGAGAAAATTAAGGTAAAAAAGATTAGTAGATATTAGGGGGGACATTTCATATATTTAAATGGATCAGCTCATCAGGAAAATATTATAACAAAACAATTCTAAATTTATTACATCTAATAATATCACCTCAAAATAAACATAAATAAATAATCAATCTGTCATTCCGGCCTTAGGAATTCAGGGGAGGCTGAGAAGGTGACTGAGGTAAGAGTGGAGTGGAGAGAGGAAGGTAGAAAATTGCCTGATGAAAGTAAAAGGAGGCTAGAAAATACAAAAATCATAGATATGATATTAAAGAGATGAGACTTTTTCCTGGAAACCAGGAAGTTATTGAAGTATTATATCATGACTTGATGAGATTTGTTTTTAGGAGATCTCTCTTACTACTGTGGGGGGAATGCATTGGAGGAAGGCAGGACTACTGGCAGAGAGGCCTGTTTCACTAATCGAGGTGAGATGATGTTGGCTGAGGCTGCGGAGATAAAGAAGGGAACAGATTTTTAAAATAAAGTATCCCGTAGCTTATGAAATATTTAAAATATTAGTAGGTTAATAGACTCACTTTTGGATTAGTTAACAAAGAAACTCAATAACAGACCTAGAAGTTGAGAAATTTTAAAGACTGCAGTTTTTTTTTCTTTTTGTCTACAAAACCAACTTTAGGGCAGTGTTGCCTTTCATTTCAAAAGATCAGGTTTTTGTCAAATCGCTCTGGCTTGGTTGTAACCTTAGGTTAGTTGTGTTCTTGTTAGCAGAATATAAAGTTGGAACAATTAAACTCTCTTAATTTTCTGTTCTGGAGCTCCCTCTCTATTTTTTATTTTAGTTGACTTGTTTAAATTTGGTAATCTGTGGGCAACTGTTCAAGTGTCTCCTCAAGAAATGGACATTATTTTAAGTCCATTAAGCAGAATGACAGAGCATACATGCATGTGGCTTCCCTGCCCAGGCACAGCACCTTAAGCCATGTTTGTCCACATCCTTTCTCAGACGTAAAATTCTGTCTGAAAGGAGAGAATAATCCTTCAAGTAATGTTTTATATGTTCGTGTAGTTATTTGGTTTACTGTCTAACTACTTCTACTACTACTTTTTGTGCGGATAGGGACATTGTCTCTTTTGTTCAAGGTTAGTACTCAACATATACCAGGTGCTCAATAAATATTTATTGAATGGCTAAGTGAATGACTGAGGAATGAAGGGATGAAGGAATATTTGTCTTAAGCAAATCACCATCACTAAAATAAGGTGTTTCTTTTCCTTTCAATATTATAAATGCATTTTATTTTCATTTAAACTTTTGAAAGTCCAATAATAGAATGTTTGAAAGTAAAGTGATTATTTTTCATATTTGCAGGACTATCTCAAGCAGGTGCTGGACATTGATCTTCATGCTCAGATCCATTTTGGCAGGGTTTTTATGAAACCAGGGTATGAAAATAATCTTATCTCATATATGGGTTGGTTGACTGGCTTTAACAAAGTTTTAAATGCTGTCTTTTTACATTTTCTATTATGGATCATTTATTCTAGTAAAAGAAGTATTATAGTATTAGGATTCTTTGTACAATTGTAGCTCCTATCTGAAATGCAAATTCATCTTCCTTATGAATCACTGAGTTTGGTATAAACAAAGCAAAGTAACTTTCCAAACCTTTTCTCCCTTTAATTCCCATGTCTACTTCCTTCTTTCTCTTTTTTCTCTTTCTGTCCATACTGCTGCTTTCTCTCTTTTTCAGAACATTTTAATATGAAAATTCTCAAACATACACAACAGTAGGGAGTACAATGAAACCTCCATGTACCCATCACCCAGCATCAAGAGCTATCAACATTTTTCCATAATTGTTTTATCAGTCCCCTCCTTCACCTATCAGTCCCCTCACTCACCTTTTTGGGAGGACAGAGGGCTGGACTGTTTTAAAGCAAATTCTAGGCATGTCACTTTAGTGTACATCTCAAATAATAATAATAACAGCAGCAGCATTCTCTTACATAATCACAATGGTATTTCTCACCCAACAAAATAAATAAGAATACCTTTATATCATCTAATACCCTGGTCATATTCAACATCCTTGCAAATGTTACAAAAAAGAATGCCTTATTATATGTGTTTTGTTTGAATTAGGATTCAAGGCACGTCCCTCACTGTACTTAGTTGTTAAATCTCTATTAAACAAGAACATTTACTCCCCCCTCCTTTTTTTGTCATGCCATTGATGTGTTTAAGAAACTGAATCATTTGAGTCAAATAAATTTGGCTGATTGCTTCCTTGGGATGGTGTTTAACTTGTTCCCCTCTCCCTCCAGTATATTCTGTAGACTAGAAGCTAGATCTAAAGGCTTAATTAGATTCAGATTCATTTTTTTTTCCTTGGCAAGAATAGTTTACAAGTAGTGTTTCGATTAGCTCTGAGTTAACATCTGTGCCAGTCTTCCTGTGTTTTGTATGTGGGTCACCATGATAGCATGACTGACGAGTGGTGTAGGTCCATGCCGGGATCCGAGCTTACAAACCTGGGCCGCCAGAGCAGAGTGCACCAAACTTAACCACCACACCACAGAGCCAACACCACATACTGCTTCTTATAGCCTCCAAGGAAGAAAGAAAAATAACCACATACCAACATCTTGCATATCTGCTAAAAACTAGTAACTCCCTAATGGAAGAGATAGTAGAGGTTCTGTAATCAGTTATAAATCCTCAAAGAATGTCAAACATTGGTTTTGATGAAATATGTGTGGCCATGTCTTTCAGCAGTAGTCTGCCTGTTCAGACCCCTGCTACTCTATAAACCTTTGATTCCCTATTCAAAGGCCGTGTGTAGGTGAGCATTCCAGTCTACCTCCATACTGTCAGGGACAACAGTAATGATGCTTTAGTTCAGAATTACACTCTGATGGGTGCTCATGTGAACCCTAAGAGAGTAGAGGTGAGACTTAGCAGTTGTTACAAGTGAGATATAGGAACTATCAGCAAATTTCAGAAGACTTTTTCAAATGTCAAGGTGGGCTTCCTAATCTCCCTGGTAAGTACTGGGTACCTCATGTCAGTTTAGGACAGAGATCAGGGTTTACCTCCATGATTTTGCCATTTAAGTATGAAGTTAAGATTATCCCCAAAGCTATCTTCACAACTTGATAGAATTTCGAATTCTTGGCATTTTATTTCTGTAGTTGCTCCAATATGGCTGCTACTGACAAGACCCTTTTATTATTGAAGCTGTTGGATTTAGATCATTCTTATTAAAAATATTTTGTATTAAGCAAATATTATTATGCTATGAGCACACAGGAGCTTTTTTTTCCTTTCCCTATGGGCAGTACTAATTTGATTAGAATACAGAGGACATCCCAAAAGCATGTCAGTGTGCTTCTCACTAACCTCAAAAATTGAAATGATTATTCCTTTTGTAGTGAGAAAGAAGCTAACATTACTTGCCCTCACCTCTAGAGGAGAATTATTTGTAATATCTATTATTTAAATTAGTCTCAGCACCTATGATATATAATTTTGGTATTCTTTTTATTTTCACTCTGTTATTTACCGCTTACTTCAACTTTAGGCATTCATCAGTTCCTAATGTTTATTCTCCTCCTTTAAAGTCATAACACCCTGTGACCTCAGTGATTGTACAAATGCTATTACATTCTGATCTCAAGAGGAGAGTTAAACAATAGATGCTGAGTTCCAAGGAAATGGCTTTCCAGAACTTAAACAAAAACTTCACATCTGGCAATAGGGCACTATTGATAGCAATGCGTGATAACAAAATGTTTTGTTGTAATGGAATCTTTTTTAAATGGGTACCTTTAGAGAAATCACAGTACCTGTCTGCAAGATGCAAAAGATGATTTAAATTGGCTTTAACTACTGTAGAAGGAAGGTGTTAAGCATCCCCTCCTCACTCTTACTGTGTCTGTTAGTTTGCTATGATAAAGTAGGTTAGAAGTTTAAATCGGCTTATTTTACTTGGCCAGAATTTTATACTTGTCTGAAGATAAGAAGAATTTAAAGGTAATTGCTACTTAATAGTAGAACAAGAGGAAATGTAGCAAGCTCAAGAACAATTTAGCTTTGCTCTTCCCACATACAGTCTATTCTGAATGCAATTAACCTCTTTCATTTTAGACACAGAAATACCCAAAAACCATTTGCAGTGTTATCAACCAGATCTACCAATCACAATTTTTATGGATCTTCTCCAGAACATAGCTGTTGTCAAGAATGTATCTTGGAAATTATTTTCATTACACAGTAACGATCACTGCCAAATAACCTGTTCATAAATCAATATGACAATCTCATGTTTCTAAAACACAACAAAGAATGAGGAAGTAAGCAAAAAAGGCCACAGAGTAGCCAAACATAGATGTTACAAAGTCCACAAACTAACACTTCACAGCATGCTCTATGAGAGCCTTATCCAATTATGAGCCATAAAGTTAGAAAAACCTTGGTTCGAATCTTTGTTTCCCCACTTAGTAGCAGAGTGATTTTGGCTAAATGGCTTAATCTCTCTGAGTCTCAGTTTCCTCAACTATAAAATGGGATGATAGTTGTTACCCCATGGGATTGTTGTGAGAATTAAGTGAAATAATGGATGTAATGTATCACTGTTTCTTTAAAAATAGTAGCTTCTATTATTATTGTCATTCTAACAATATACTATTACTAGTACTCTCTGGTTCCCGAACCTAAAACCAGCTTTAAGGGTAGAGATGATGGCAGTCTAGCATTAAGGGGAGCCACAGAAAAGACCTGGGGGAAAAAAAAGACAGAATCAAGGATTATAGAAACACAGCAGTGTGTGGTGTGGGGTTATGGTTTATAGGTGAAAACAATACGCAATACCCTAGTGACTCAACATCACTGTATTATAGCGAAGTAGAATAAGTTAATAATGATGGTTGGGAATCATCAAAAAATGTTAGTCATATTATTGCGAAAGCTAACGAGTGAGTGATCCATTTTTGAAAGACCAACCTGTAAAACTAGTAAAAATAAAAACACTTTCAGTGCTTAAAAGGATACTTTTTCAACTATATGGAAATTTCAGCATTCCCTAAGGATTCTACATCATTCAAATTTTATTAATATAATGAAATTTTTAGCTGAAGTTCTATGTAAAGAGTAGTCAATAGAAAGAAATCATTATTCTTAACTGCCTGCTTCCTCCATCCCTCTCACACTCATCCCTTTCCACACCCCCATGAAAGGTTTCACGTCAGAATCTTAAGGAAGTATAATTTGAGAATATTTTTAATTACTATTGCTTTAATTTTGTTCTAGTCATGGTATTTTACTTATTTTGACATTTCAAAAAACTCCCTTCTGAGACAGCCATGGTGGCCTAGTGGTTAAGTTCAGTGTGCTCCACTTTGG